CTCTGGCGGCTGAAGATGAAGAGTTGGACGTATTGAGAGACCACCCTGATGAGCCCAGCACAGCAGACATGATCGACTTTGACATCAATGAGCAGAGGCGCAACTTTTTAATTCATCTAGTGGCTTAGCCCTCCGTTAACTGTGCGTGTCGTATAAAATTGGTTTTAACCTCACATGAATCTTATCTTATAGTGACCTAAGCCCCCCAAAAGACTAGAGCCCCCCTAAAAGTATATGCCTAGTTGCGCCCCTGTCAATGAGCCAGATCCGTCGGTCTTGTGCAGATAAGTTAAAGTTTTTAATTTATCTAGTGGAGTAGGCCTCCGGTGAGACGTTAAAATAAACGCGCCATATACTTAACCTCTTGGGTGGTGTGGAAACAAGTACACATTTTCAATAATTAAAGTTAATTATTCGTAAATTAATGAGCGAATTAATAATACACCACTGTTTTATGACAATATTGAAGAAACTAAACTAAAACTAGTTTTAGTGAACCCTAATCGACGTTTGATTTCGAAAAATCGACTATACATAATATATCATATTTTACGCAAAATTGTAAAATTTCCAGGGATTTTGTGCCTAAACGGTTGACTTTAGCGAAAATTTTCATTAAACCTTTTTTATAGGAAATTTTATTCTCTTTAATTTTGCTCTCCTCAAATTTTCGCGAAAAACGCATAGTTTTCGAGATATTCACAAAATACCGATTTTGGGCGCCATCTTGGCAAGATGACGGCGCCGGCGGCAAGTCTGGAAATGTGCATTTTATGGATTTTAGTTAGGGACCCCAGAACCTTGCAACGTTGCAAAACTTGCTAAGTTGCAAAACTTCCGGACTTTTTTCCAAGCAAAAATCCCCAATGACTGAACTACTATGCAAAATAAAACACTAAATCACCACAATACACACAAAACACTTTTACTTTTACACTGGACGCGCGTTTCGCTAACCATGTTAGCATCATCAGCAGATGTTTATAATCATCCGCGTCCAGTGTAAAAGTAAAAGTGTTTTCGGTGTATTGTGGTGATTTAGTGTTGTAAACCCAATTTGATATTTCGCCTGAAATTTATAAATATAAAGGTAATAAAGCATATAAAATATATATTACATGAAAAATCCTGGAGAAAAAGACGTTTCTGCAGTACTAGGTATGTCCCATGTATATTAAAAATAGGTAGTAAATAAACACTATTTCCATGTTTTTTAGATGCAAGAATATTTTGTTATATGTTTATGATCGGCGATTTTATTGAAAATGGAAACAATTTACAGCAAGGTAAGATCATTTTTAACTATAGCCAATATTAGTTATCTCCAGTATATGCGATTTATTGTCAATAATATACAATAAATCTGTCTGATACAATCTGATTGTTATCCGATTAAAAGTCTCTTTTTACTTCTTTTGGATTCATAAACCAGGTCTCTTTGGGAATAATGGAGCTTTTTTAATTAGTATATTTATATTTTATACCTATATTGATATTTTTACATTGTTAATTTTAGTATAAAAAATGTGTTTTTCTATAAGGCTCCCGTTTTCATGTTCCTGTCCCCGTTTTCTGTTTCTGAAGGCTGTGAATACGTGTATTTATTTACAAAATACTGTAAGTCATGCTTATCCCTTACTAATTTACGTTAAAACTGCATATAATTAAGTAATTGATATAGAAATCATTCAATTCTTTATTTTTTTATATTTATTTAGTCACGTTGTCTCACATTTCAAATAAATATGTTTGAATCAATTTTTATTTTGTTTTATTTATGATAAGAAAGAGTACAAAATACATTTAAACTGAAAGAGGTGCCCGCCATTGAATAACTGGAAACGGAAATAAAAATGAAGCCATCATGTCAACCTGTCAATTGAAAATTAGTTCTTCAGACGACAACGAAGGCTTACGGTGGCGTATCGTGTTTCCACGATTTAACACAGTGTTGACACTTCTTTCCAGTTAATTATTTTATGCCAAAACCTATAAACCTGCAAAGTTGCAAAACTTCCGGACTTTTTTACAAGCAAAAATCCCCAATGACTGAACTACTATGCTAAATAAAACACTAAATCCAGTGTAAAAGTAAAAGTGTTTTGGTGTATTGTGGTGATTTAGTGTTTTATTTTGCTGTGTAACAACAAAGGTTCCAACCCTCAACTGTAATGAACTACTATGATAAAATTTCTATAAGACATAACGTAAAATAAATTAATTTGAAAAAAGAATATTTTAGAGACTTTTTATCTATTTAGACACTTTTTATCTATATGAAGAAAAAGGATATTATTCAAAGTTTTCTAATTTTGAAACATCAACAGAATCGGGATTATGGCTGTGCGTTGCAAAATGTTTTTTAAAGTAATATTCATCAGCAAAACTTCTATCACAAATTTCGCATTTATGCCTGATGCCCATATGTCTGTTTTTATAATGATTCCTGTATTCCCTCACTGTGTAAAATCCTTTACTACAATCCTCACATCTGTGCCTGAATTGATCCAAATGCCGTAACATATGTTCCTTAACGTTTTTCTCATACATAAATGTTCTGAAGCAAAAGTTGCATATAGCTCGATCAGTATGCTGTTCTATATAATGAGTATAGAATTCGCCGTTCTTTGAGAATGTTGCCATACAAACGTCACAATTATTGATATAACATTTGCCTTTCTCTATATGCCTGAAGAACCCAAATTTATTGATAAAAATTTGCTCACATCGTTCACATTTATAATGAATGGTGTCTAAACCATCATTAGCTTCGACTAAAATATAACCCGTAGCAGAGAAATTAGGTACTTCATGACGTTTTTTCGGTTGTCTTGCCCTAGGTGGTTTAGGAACAGAATTTAAGGGCTTATTTGCAGCTAAAATTGCAGCCGGATTCTTAATTGGAATTAAAACAGTTTTTTTCACAACTTTCGTAATAGGAGGTAGCTCAGGTAACATATAACCATGTTCCAAAGCAACTAAATCAACTGGCCGGACTTTTTTGCTTAACTGTTCTGGTTCATTATCTTGTATTACTACCTCATTAACACAATTTTGATCTTCCTCATCTAAAACGTATAAAAATTGACTTCCCTCACTGACAAGTGTTTCGGGTACTTGAATGACTGTGTCAGTATCTGGATAATCTAAAGCCACTTCCTCAGCTAAACTGTCTTTATGTGTATCATGATGTTCATAAAGCGTTTCAGGTAACTTAAATACTTCAAAACACTTACAACAAGTTAATCTTTTAGCATATTTGTTGATATGGTTTTTAATGAAACTTCTTTTTGAATCAAAAAGTTTACCGCAAATTCCACATTCGTACTGATTTATGGATTGATCATCACTTAATGAGCCATCAATATCAAATATCTCATCGACCCTAAAATTGATAAAAATTTAGTATTATATTTAAAAGAAACCCGTACATATTAACCAAACATATCATAATGGCGATTTACCAGTGCCATGTTAAACTTACCCGAAACATTAAATAAATAAGCTTACAATAAATAGTTTAAATTAAAAAAAAAATAAGTTAAAATAATACATCATAAATAAGTAGTAGAGTATATTATTTGTATATTAATAAAATTTAAAATTAAATATCACATTAAAATAATATCACATAACCATTAAATCATACATTATTATATTTTTTTAAACTGAAAAAGTTTCAATTATTGCAGTGATGATTTCATTGGCAGTGAGAGTTCAGAATTAAGCAAAGAAAAAATAATTTGTGAAAATTAATCCTTTAAAAAAAATAGGTAAAATTTAAAATTTTATTAATAATTACTAGAAATAGTAAAAATTAGTTAGGTAAAAGTTCTTTAAAAGACTTCTAGAAAAGAAACTTCTTAAAGAAAATTAAAACAATAAACATATAAACAATGCAAGGTGTCAAAAAATAGTATATCTAACTTTGATGGGTGATTTTACAGATAAAATTAAAACAAGACGTTCCTATGAACATATGTCTAAAATGCTTCCCGAAGAAGTTACAGCCCTCAAAAGGTTAAATAAAAATAATATATTTTGTTTATTTTTAAGAACATTGGGAAACCGTTTATCTTGAAATTTGTCTCTTACAAAATTGAAATAATCTCTTACACACATTTTAATGCCAAAGCGAATGGCGATCTTGTAAAATTCCGTAACAGCCCTGAAAAGTTACTTTCCATTAGGGTTAAGAGTACTATTGATGGTAGTGATGGTACTTTTTTTATCCTTATAGATACAGTAATTTCAACAAATGACAACTTTTGCTTTAAAATGCTTAAACTTTTTTACGTAAAAAAGGTGCTCTACATTTAGTTCAAAATGGTGAACGGTTTTCAAGATATTTGCTTTTAAAGATTACGATGGACCGATTTTAGTATTAATGAAATGATAAAATTGTAAAGAAATTTTAAATGAATTAATCTCCTTATTTCGCTAATAGTAACATCCATAAATCGGAACCTTTAAACGCAAATATCTTGAAAACTGTTCACCCTTTCGAACTAAACGAAAAGCACTTTTTTTAGATAAAAAAGTCCTAGCTTTAATTTTAATTTGTTGAAATTATTGTATCTATAAGGATAAAAGAAGTACCACAAGGAGCACCCTCTACCCTAATGGAAAGTACCCTTTCAGGGCTGTTACACAATTTTACACTATCGCCAATCGCTTTGGCATTAAAATGTGTGTAAGAGTACGAAGAATATCACTTACAACAACAATATTCTTAAAACTTACTTATCACAACAATATTCTTAAAACTGAACAAAATATCGAGGGGTAAACTGCTGACAAATTTCTGTACACTAATACCAAAAATGCCAAATAATACCACTAATACCAAATAATGCCAACATCTTGTACACCAAACTACACCAGCGGTTTACCCCTCGCAAAATATATTTTTTTTATTTAAACTTTCAAGGGCTGTAACTTCTTCGGTAAGCATTTTAGGGCATATGTTCATAGAAACTTTTTGTTTTGTTTTTATCTGTAGAATCACCCACTGAAGTTTTTTTGACACCCTGTATATAAATAATTTTTAGCTTTGATGGAATGGAGCTACTATATCTAAAATCAATGAATTATTTATTACAAATAGCAGCAAAGTTACCAAAAATTTGAGGACCTTTGCAAACATGGCTTTTAAGTTCAGCTCTTGTAACAAATCCTCTGTTACATACGCAACAACTAAAAGGTCTCTCTCCTGTATGATATCTCATATGTATTGTTACAGTGTATGGTTGTGTAAATCCTTTAAAACATACTGGACACTTATGGGGTTTTTCTTTAGTATGCGTTCGAATGTGATGTCGTAATATTTTCTGATTAATAAAGGACTTACCACAGTGTTCACATTTATGTGGTTTTACACCTAGATGACATTTCATATGTGGACGGATATTCTTTTTAAGAATATCTTTCCCACATATTTCACAAACACAACGTCTCTTTCGATAATCTGGTTCCTCTTGATTATGTGTTTCGATATGCTTTACATAACTGCTCTCGTAGGTCATTACTTTGTCACAAATTGAGCAAATAAAATTGAATTTATAATTCGGATTGTGCTGTGTCCAAATATGTTTCTTAAAAGAATTATGTTGAGTTTTAAAAATCTTTGAACAGTAAGGACATTTTCCCATTTCAATATTCTTACTATGAGTTTGTTTTATATGCTCTTGAAGCTGACTGTTACTACCCGAGTCAAGATCACATATACTACATATAAACTTCTGAAATTTCTTCATACTTCTGTGTGTATACGAATGCCTTTTTAAATTTCCCTGTGTTGCAAATATCTTGTAACATACTGGACACTGAGGTCTAAAAAGTACAACTTTTTAATGCTTTTTTAATATCACATTAAATCAACTAAAACCTGACAAACACAAACATAGCATAAACAAATATTTCTATATACATAATCAAGCAAAGCATTGAATTACGTAAAATACCTAAAATCCTGCATGTCTATATAGGTATGTTAAATGTCCTTGGTGGAAGTCAATATAATTCCAATAAAATAAAAGCCTATCCAGTAGTAGGATCAATATACAAGGAAATACCGTATGATCGAATAAAAACGGCGTCAACGATGGCTATGAAATGAAGATCGCTGTCATTTTATATGTAAAATTATATGGGAAATGTCATCGATCGTCATTTCCAACCCAACTGGACGCCGTTTTTTTTTCGATCATACGATACATATTTTTAAAGTGTATTATGTTTGTGCTTTAACTAAATAGGTACTTAACTTACTTTAATCCTTTTACATGGTTACTCTCTTCTTGTATCTTATCTCTACTAGTATTGGGAGTTCTTGTTTAAAAAAGATCCATATTAATTTCTACTTCGTCAAATCATTTTAGATATGAATGACAAAATTTTACCACATTACTCCTGGCTGTTATTACAAAAAAACATTACAACTATAAAGTAGCTTATATTTTTACCTCTCCGGTTATAAAATAAACAGTAAACTTAAGTAAACAAAAAATGACAAATGAATATGAATGAAAAGTAAGGTTATCTCCTATCTTCTATTTTTACTTCTCTTCAAAAGTTCGCTGGCTTTTTCAGATTTTTAAAACATGCTCAGAGTAATAAATAGGTAAGTTTTTTTAAAATATTTAAAAATTTTTTATTTGCATCAGTAATATCAGGTAATGGTAATATTATTATTAAAGTTGAACGCGTGGTTAATACAGTGTGATAAAAAAAAACGGGGTAAACCTGCTGTTTAGGCCGACGTTAACGATCATATGCGGCGTTGCCATTTAACACATTAACTTTTTAACGGAATTTCGTGATTGCTTGTTTTAAATTGTTAGAAATTTAATTTATTATTAGACATTTAATTTATATAACAAACGACTACCCATTCGCGGGGCGGGTTCTCATATACAGGGTGTTTTATAATAGTGTACAAATTTTCGTTAAGAATCTTTTTTACCGAAAATTTACAAATTTTGAAAAATCGAAATTTTAACTATGTACGACTAATCTGTATTGAACAGTTGAACATATGAAACAATTTGTTTTTTTTTTAATTTTTTTGTTTTAAATAAAATACGTTTTTTTTCGAAAAATATGCATTTATAGTCATACATTTGGTCCTACAAAAGGCATTCTACATTTTGCATAGGCCCACAATATATTGATATAGCGTGTATCTTAAACTATCTGTACAGAAATTTGGACCGATGTATACAGGGTGTTCAAAATATATATTTAAAATTAAATAAACTTAAATTTTATTATCATTTATTTACTTATTTTAAAAATAAAAATATTATTCTGATAAGATTTTTCTTTAAATTTCATTAACAAGAATGATAGGGGTAGTTTATTTCAACCCCTTCCACTCATTTTAAAAAAGTGAAAAAATTACCAGAAAGTGTGTTTTCATAACAGTAATGCTTCCGTAAAATTTCATTAGTCTATCTCTTTTCGTTGTCAAGATAAAAAATAAAAACATTATTTTTCCGCCATCTTTGTACCGCGATATCTCCCTAATGGTTGACTTTTAACCCAACGTTTATAAAGCAAACTACCCTTTATTTTGAACAAGGAATCACCCCCTGAAGTTTTTCGCGTTTGTTTTGAAACACCCTGTATAATAAAAAACTTTTTACACAGGCAATTAATTATATTTGAACCTTAGTATACTAAACTAGGTACATTATTATGAAAGAAAATCAGGAAGACTGTTTGGTTTGGTTTGGTTTGGCTTATAAGAAATGGGTGGATTCTCGTCAACGTCTAACTTCCAACTAAAATAGTCGTTATTCCACGTAAATGAAGTGCGCCATTTAAAAAAAGATATATTACAACCGTTTCCAGATATATAAAACAACTATTTAAAATTATTTATTATGGAATTTTTTCTCCGAGTTTCTTAATTTTTTAAAAAATATGGGAATATGACGAGAATTAGGACAGTGACGGTAATTGGGCATTTACCATAATTTAAAATTCGGTTACTATACGGAAACAGATTGAAGTTTCGTGGTTACAGTGATATATAATTTATATGATTTGGTAACAAATTGCCCGCTATTTTATGGTAAATGCTGAAGTTTTGCAAACCTTAATCAAAGCACATGTGTTTGGAATTTTGGGTGTGGCTTAACACGACAAGATCGGGCTAAATCTTAGACAGATTTCTGAAATATAATATATATTTTCTTCAGCCACACATCTGCTTTACCCGACTCCTGAGAGCGACCCGAAAGTACAGCGTAATACCACAGATTAAGTATACTATATGTATACAGATAAAAATCTTATCCCTAATTCGTGGTACGAAAATTGTTTTTTATGACGGTGTGCAAACGAGTCAAATTTTCTGTGCGCAAAAATAAACTCGCGTAAAATAACAATAAACAGCGTAATAGAGAGATATCGCTAAACCGAATAGCGTGCATGGACGTTAATAAGGCCAGGGGTTATTTCCTTTACGTGAGGTGGTATTAACTCTCTTCATTTATAGTTATCGGATAGGAAAGAATTCTGTTCGCGTCGCGTCCGCTATTTAAACTTAACCTAACTTTGAATTTAAAACTTTGAAATTGTTTTGTTTACTAGGTATTTTAAAACTAAAGGGCTAAAATGCTTATTTCCAGTGCTTTATTGTTCAACGTCTGTCAGTGGGTTTAGAGCAACAAGCAACAAATAATTCTCTAAGCCTGTTTATATATAGGTTCTTTAATATTGGAAGAGCTGGAATCCATATTTTGGGCCATATTTATTTAATTAAAACTAATCCCAGCTACTTAAATATCAAATTACCTAATAAAACTAAAGTAATAATTCACAACAATTCAAACATAACCTAAAATAAAAGATCTCGCCGGCCGGCCCCGGTTGTCAAATACCCGCACATGCCCATTTAAGCAATTTTTAAACGTTATTTAGAAATAGCGCTTGGTGTAATTTATCCGCAAATTACGTCAGGCGGTAACGTTATTAGCGGGCGTTGCGTTAAAAATTGACTCGCGCATATAGTAACCATGATAAGGTACGCGTAAATACTGCATGACGCTATTCGGTTTTGCGATATCTCTCTAGTAACTGTGCCGGTCAGGCGCTGTGCACAATTTTATAGGCCATAAGTGGGCGTGCTACGTGCGTAACCTAACTAGTGCCCGATTCCGAAAATTGGAACCACGAATAACAATAAAGAAAAAACAAAGATTATAATCTGTGTGGTAATACACTCTTAATATCAAATAGTAATAAAATAAAGCAAATTTTAATATTCATGAATAATTCTTTATTGTATAGGAATAAAATACATTGACTAGGTTTAGGCGTAAAGAAGTATCTGTACAATTTATTTTGTACCTTCAGTTGTGCTTTAGTGTTATGCCGGGTTTATACAACATAGTCGTAATCATAATCACAATTTTAGTCACAATCATAAAAGTAAAAACAATTATTTTAAATACAAGCGTTTATACATCTCAGTCGTAATCATAACCATAACTTATACTGGTTTGCACCGACGAATTTAAGGGAATCTTAAGTTAAGTGGAGCTTTGAATATGACAAGCGGATTTACAAAGTCACAAGTAAAGTCACATTCACAGTGTTACGCTTAGCCTAGTCTCCTTTAAATTTGTCGAGGCAAACCACCATTAGTAACCTTGAAGGTAAATTTTATCTTTTATGATTGTTATTACGACAAAAATTGAAGACCGCATGCGCGGCGTCGGTTTTATATAATAATAATAATAATAAATGTCTTTATTCCCGAATAAAAATAGAACTATTACAAAAAAAGAAAAATATTAGAAAATAAGAAAAAAATATCACGTTGATAAAAAACATAAACACTATAACCAAAAAAATTAAACAAATTACAAAGTTAGGATGTTAACACTTGCTTGTAAAAATAGGTCTTTTGTAATTATTTTAAATAACATTTTTTTTTAATTTGCTGTAGGTGGCACTGAACATCAGTGATATAAATTTTAATAAAATTTAATAATAAATTAGATTAAATAAATAATTTATTATTTTTATTTTATTGTGTTTAATAAAATTGCGTTTATCTCATCAAGGAGATCGAAATCAACAAAATATCAAGATGCAACTTTTAATTGGCACTAAACCGCCTACACAATTTTGCTAACAAGAGAAAAAGAAAGTCAGTGGCGCACATGTTTTTTTTTTACAGTGGAGACTTTTTTATTATTAATATATGCACTTATAGGTAACTTTTACCCGGAAAATTTCATTGGAATCACTATAAGCACTTGAAGAAAATTATAATAAATCGAAAAAAAAAGACCGTTAGTCTTGTAGCTACGAACCAAAACAGAATCTGCACTAGAGATGACTCATGTTTTTTGAAACACCCTGTATTAATAATGATAATTATTAAGGAAATAATAGGGTGGTTTAAAAAAAAATAACTGTTAATTTGTATTTTATATATTTGTCTAGTATTTTTTTTGAGGGTGATTCCAAATAATTTCGAGTTTTTGTGTTTATTTCAATAGATACTATTATAATACTACGTTAAGTTGTCTACACTTACTCTCATTTTAACGTGAATGCGGGTTTTGCTAATATTGTTAGCGAAACCTGTGTTCAAGCTGTAATCTATTTTGCGTTAGTGTAATATTGTCATATTCTGTTGTAACGCCGGGTTTATAGAACATAGTCGTAATCATAATCACAATTTTATTCATAGTCATAAGCACAATCATAATTTTAATATGCGTTTATACAACATAGTCGTATTCATAACTTTGAATGTAAATTTCATAATCATTTTAGAAGTATATAACACTTTGACCAGTTCATGACATTAAAAAAATTAAAGGTTGCTATTAGACTTGGGTTAAGGCAAATTAATAAAATTGCGTTTATCTCATGAAGGAGATAGAAATGGACAAAACATTAAGATACAACTTCTAGTCGGCATTAAACAGCCTACAGTCTACACAATTTTGCTGATAAGACAAAATAAATGTCAGTGGCGCACATATTTTTTTTTAGAAAAGAATTCCAGTGATAACCCATATACACCACAATGGTGAATCTGTCGACCCTTTTT